TAATTAAAAATACACGCACGCAAATATTTATATATTACAACATAATAAATATGCAACGACAAGAACCAGCTATGACAACAGTCATCAATAATGCACTTAATGAAGAAGATTACGATACAGCATGGGAAGAATGCTCGAAAGGATTGATTGCCTATCCAACAAATCCAACATTATGGTACAATCGATCAGTAATTGATTATTTGAAAGGATTCCCGGAATTAGCAATAATGGATGCAATAAGATCATTGAAATTATTAGAAGATGAAGTAAACAAGAGTAACGATGAATTTGAATTGTTGACTATCAAAAACTTTATTATTAAATGTTTAGATTTGATTGGTAAATCGATGGGGGATGTTGGAAGTTATGAGAAAGGAACTGAAATGTATGAGAAGGCAATCAATCCTTTCGACCATTCACCACCATAGCCTACTGATGTGTCATATAAATTACTAATGAAATTTATTAGAAGTTGATATATGAATAAGTAGTTTATTTAATTTTAAAAAAAATTATATATATATACACACACAAACCTCCAAAGTACTTTATCACCATATGCATGAATTGTACGATTATTCATACAGATTAATTGTTCTAATGGATCATTTCACATTTTATGGAAACATATAAAGTATCATTATCAACCTTCATCACTGACTCGTAATGAATATAAGGATGAAAGGAATTATGATATTCTGCATCAAAATATCATTCGGGAGAAAAGTTCCATCATTTAATGTGGCTATCAACTTATTTTCAGGTTGAAGTAATCTTCCAGATCAACATTTATTGAATAATTTCCAGGATATTTGATATAAGTTAACCCTCTGAAAATATTTGAATGTTTTTTAGTTATTATCATTGGAATAGGTTGAACAATTGATGACTGATTGCTCTTGCAAATATGTTATGATGAGTGAGCCTTTTAATTAATGCTGATTTTCAAAAAAGACTTTTTGGTAACTTTTTACCCCTCCCCCCCACAAAAAAATATTATTTTACAAATATTAGGGAAAAAAACAAATTATATGATTTATAATAAATATAAATATAAAATATATTTACTGCTACCATAAATATGAATTCCTTTATGCATGTTTTCAATAACTAAAATTTTCGTTTAAAAAATAAGTAAATGATTTGATTGAACTT